AGACTCCGCCTCATCCACTGCGGGAATGCCCTCGTCGTTGGGAACTGGGACTACGACTGTTTGTGACTGCCCCAGCCCGCGCGACGGCCCGTTTGCGACGGAATACTTGCCACTTTTGTACGGACGGCCCTTGCGCTACTCACTCGTTATTGTAGCAGCATACAACCAAAACAGGATAACAAGCTGCTTTGTGATGAATATTGGCTGCACTTCCCGTGGACCAACAATCCGCGTGGTGTGCGGGGATCTTCTTTTTGTATTGTTACTTTGCTTTTGTGTTGCTGTGTGCGCTGCACCTTCTTGTGTGTGTGCACACCCTCCGTGAGGGGTGCAGACACGACGGACCGCTCTCGCCGCATGTACATGCGGTGGAGCCTTGTGTGCCGCTCCTGTTTGCTTCTCCCTCTTCCATCTGTGTGTTGGTGTTGCGGCAGGGCTGTGTGTGTGTGTGCCTGCTGCCGTGGATTGGAGTGTGTGTCGTGCGTGGTGTGCGGCGTACGGTGCATGCCTGGCTGCTGCCCTCTCCTCATGTGGTGTGCCCTCTGTGTGTGTCTGCCGCACCTCTCGCCTCCCCTGTTGCTCTCCATGTCCCTCACTGTGCAGATCAGCTCCACACCACTGAATGACCACACTCACGATGATGACGACGTGCCGTTTGCTGTGCGCCCTGTTGGTGCTTGCCCTGTGCTGCTGCTCGTCCGTGTACGCGGCAGACGCTCAGTTGGAGGGTACTGAAAATCATGTTGAAGAACGAGACAGCATACTGCCGCCTCCTCCACCAGAGCCACCAACTGCTAAGCCGCCTATTGCTCGCGGAAGCGTCACCAGTGATTCGTTCTCTGCATCAGAGGATAAACAGGGGAAAGGTAATTCAGAGTCGCCAGGTTTGGGGTCCTCTGCGGAATCGGGAAAAAGTGCCGTAGAGAGAGATTCCACCGTTACGGAACCGCAGTCAAATAACGCACCCAATACGATACAGACAGAAGTTAATAATGGCACTACAGGACCACGAAGTGGCACAAGTTCTTCCGCTGACCAAACAGATAATAACGCCAAAGATGTTTCCGCAACAACCACGACTACAACAAAGGAACCAACCACGACCACCACCACTGCGCCAGAGGCACCAAGTACTACGACTACAGAGGCGCCAGCTGTGTCGAGCACCCGCGCACCGTCACGTCTTCGCGAAATCGACGGCAGCCTCAGCAGCTCTGCGTGGGTGTGTGCCCCGCTGGTGCTCGCCGCATCCGCGCTGGCGTACACCGCTGTGGGCTGAAGAGGTGTGTGCGGGCTGTGCGTGCCAGCACTCAACCGCGGGGTTTGCGCGCGTGTGTTGTGGTTCACTGTACTAAATAAGAGGAAATAATGATTGTGTTTTGCTTCACTTGCTTCTGCTGCCGTGCTGTGTGCTCCGCGTTGTGCCCCGCATCCGTCACGTTGAACGCATCGCGGACACACTCATAAGCATGCGCACTGGAGCCCTGGGTTTTTTTTTCTTTTCTTTTCTTTTTTAATTATTGTTTTATTGCTTTTTAAACTTCTGGTTTGCGGTGCGGTGTGCGAGCTCTGCAATCGTACTGATTCCATCTGTCTCGTGGTGTGTGCGCTGCTGCTGCTGGGGTGCTGCCATTTGTTGCTGTGCGGTGGCTGTGCGTGGTGTAGCGGCTGTGTCTCCTTTTGTTTTCTCGTGCTATCGCAGGTTGGCTCCGCAGCGTTAGGCGACTCCACTGTTCGTGATGATGACTGGCCGTGTGCTCTGCGTCCTGTTGGCTCCTGCAGTGATGCGCAGCTGCTCGTGCGTGTGAGTGACGGCTGCTGCGACGGGGTGCGTGTGCGGCCCGCGGGTGATGGCGCGGTGACTGCTGGGCACGCGGAAGCTGTGATGGCTGCGGAAGGTGGACCCGTGGTCGGTGGCTCTGGACGAAAGGGGAATGTGAACTCTGAGGACAATAGCAATCAGGAAGACGAGGAGGGTGGAGGAAGCACCGCGGGTGAGGGCCACAATCCCACCTCGGCAGGACCACTCATTGCTCCGACGAGGCAGGACCAATCCAGCAGCGACCCACTGCGAAGCAACACTTGCAATCCGTCCGGCACTGGCAGCGCGTCTGCTGCTCGGATGCGTGCAAGTGGACCGGAGTCTTTGGGCGGAGGGCAAGCTGCAGACACAGCATCCCCACGCTCCGACGCATCTCAGCAGGCAGCAGGTGGAGTGCATGCTGGTGGCGGGAGGACCTCCCAGGGCACTCAGGCCTCGGAACAAACCGTCATGGGACAGTCACAGGTGCCAGGGACGGCGAAGGAAGCACCGCAGGGCGATGAATGAGGAGAACCCGGAGCGCAACACGAAGCCGACCAAACCACAAAAATGACTGTGGTGACCTCTTGCGCAAAAACAGCGGTGGAAGAGGAGAGCCGCCAGCGGGATCGCAAGATGCACCACGTCTCTATAGTGGCGGGAATGCTCATTATTATTATTTTTCCCTGCTCTTACCGACATGTCTAGCCACACGATGTCACCAGGGTGCCGAGGAGGTGGTCGAGCAGCGACATGAGTTTCCTGCTATGAGGCAGCTGCCATTGGGAGAACCTTTCGGTGCAAAGGTCCTTCTTAATGCCCAGCCGTTGGCGCACAGCCAGAGCGTCTGTACATTCTGGAAGCAGATGGTGCAGTGTTTTCTGCGGGCTAATTGTTGCGCTTGTGGAGGCTGGCTGATCCTGCGGTAGAAGTGATTGTCTCCTGGCACTGCTGCTGCGGTGCCGATCAGCGTCTGGGTTTTGTGCGCAGCGATTTCTCTGCGGAGCTTTTTTTGTGTGGGGAAGACCGTGTCGCAGCAATCGCGGTGGAGGTCGGGAAGCGGTGGAGGGTGTTCCGGATGAAAGCACCGACAGTGGCTGATGTGGTTCGTGTGTCCCACCAGTGTGGCGTCACAGTACGGGCATTTCTTCTTCCGACGCCGTGTGGAGGGCCGTCTCTCCACAGGCGGTGCATCGGCCTCCCTTGTCGTCGGGGGAACAGCTTCCGTCCCGCTGCAGTGGGATCGTCATTGGAGCGCATGAGAGCGGAGTGTTCCGGTGAGATGTTGCAGAAACGGCGTTGGTTCGTGCAGTCTCTCACAGTCCAGTACAGGCGACCCCAGAGCTCGGATTCCCCGCACCCTGCTCATGCAATGTTTGTCCGTTCCTGTTGGTCGAGGGCTTCCTGAGTAATCAGGTGCTTGCCGCCTGGATCTGATGGCCTGGCGCCGCCAAGCAGGTAGTGGTGGGTGTCCTGATGCATGGTACTACGCCACTTGTTGGTGAGCTGGGTGTTAATGCATGTCAGCAGGTCCGTGCGCCATATGGGTGCTATTCCATGTTCCGTGTATTGCCCGGTTGCCGTAGTCTGAGTCGCATGATCTGCAGGCTCGTTAACATGTACTCCACAATGTTCGTAGCAAAACTGCAGCTGCACGGACCAGCCGGCACGCGTCAGTGACAAGAGACGCTGCCAGATCCGGTCCTCCGTCCAGTCGGTATGACTGCGCGGGCCCTTGGTGACGGCGGCTAGAAGAGACTGACTGTCTGTCACCACAAGCAGGGTTTTTGCCTGTGCTGGATACGATGGACACTCAGCCTTTCCATGGCCGGGAGCAGTGCACGGGATTCCGTCGTGCGGCTGCATGGGCGTGTGCCGCAGTTGGTACTGACCTTCTCTATTATCTTCGAGGAATGCAGGGATGAGAGCAGTATGCCAATCCCGGCTGACTTGGGGACGTCAACACCGCCATCCGTTGCTAGTATCCACGGTCCCCAGCGATGATGTTGCACCTTGTCGCGGTGTTGGGGCTTTGGTTGCGTATAGGAACTCCGCAGCAGGGCGTTGCTGCGAGCACGACGGAGACCAAGGTGACTTCACCCCTCGAGAAGGTTTCACTCCATGCCCGGTGTGGGGAGGTGAGGCGGTCTGCCTGCAGACTGTCGGACAGAACTGCACGACCGTTTCGCAGCGGTCACTCCGTTGATATCACCCGTGGCGGTGACGTCCACAAGAACCATGGCCCGAGGTGGATGGCTTCATCAATATTAGGCAGCTTAACATTGCAGGCCTCTCGTTCGTGAAAAAGATTGCATTTGCTGCGCGATTGGAGCAGCGTCCACCTGACATCGTTCTTCTGCAGGAAATAAGTAACCGTGGTGACGTTGCGACGAAATTATCTGGCCATAATGACCACCTTCAGGCCCGCACTGGGCGCGGTGGTGGCGTTGCCGTTCTGGTGCGCCACTCTCCACCGTGCGAGCGCCTGTCGCTCCCTGGCACTGACCTCCTGGAGACCATTGCTGCCCTTGTTTTTCCGCCAGGCTGTCCCAGCATTTGCGTGGCGAATCTCTACAACCCTCCCACAACAATTGGTCAATAATCCGCATCTATCAATATCGTTTGTCGCTTGGGCCCGAAGCGATTATCGCGGGTGACCTGAATTTACATCGTGAACTCTGGGACAGTCACATATACCATCAACGACTGGAGGCGATAATTTCGCCGCTGTTCTAATCGATATGGATTTTGGGCTGGCAAATGACCCGGCGCAGGCAACACGGATCACACATCGTAATGCCTCGTCCCCTGACGTGACTGCGTATTGCGCCCTACGCATCTCCCACTGGACATTCGCCCCTTACATAAACTCGGACCACTGCTGAATATCTTACTTGGTAGAGATGGATGATGGCACTCCACGACTGGCAAACACGCTGCCTTGACGGAAGGAAGCCACCTTTGCCCTGCGTAAAGCGGGTTGGCCTGCTTTTACATCGTTGTGTGAAACCCTCCTTGCCACCGCGTCCACATGGTTGGATCCTCGCGGAGGCATCTTACGAGCAGCTGAGCGCCATATCCCGCGCGGCAGCCGTGACAGCTCCAAAAAAGATATGGACACACGAAATGGAACAAGCCGAGTCCGCCGCCGAAGCAGCACACGAAGCACACACATTGCCTCACCCGGAGACAGCCTACTTTGAGCCGAATGTACCCGAAAAAAGGGAGGAACGAAATCAAGCCTTACGCCGTTGCTTCGCTGTGCTTCTGGAAGCCCGCGCGAAAAGACGTGGAGCCTCACCCAGCCCGAGGTGTCGATATCTTCACGGCATGGCGGCGCCGCACCCTCATCCTCTGGAATCGGTTGTGCTCCGCACTGAACTTGGCCGCGTATGCGCCCTGCCTCGGCAGCAGGCAAATCTGCTTGTCCGTCATTTTGTGCGGTTTCACGTGCCGTACCGCCTTATACTGCTGCTGCTGCTCGCTGCACTCCTTTGGTTCCTGGTGGCTGGGAAATGGATCGGCCTTTCCCGCCGTATGAACTTGACGTGGCCATCCGTGACTCTTTGCTTGGCTCAGCCCCTGGCCCCGACAACATGTTGAATGAATTCCTGCATCGTCTCGGGCCCGTCGCGCGTGGCACAATTAGAAATATGATCCACAACTCCTTCGCAAATGGCAGCCTGCGTGGCTCCTGGAAAATGGGAGACGCTATTCCTATCCCCAAGCCTGGGAAGGATCCATGCCGCCCAGAGAGTCACAGACCTATCACGCCACTCTCTGTTTTACCAAAGTTAACCGAAGGAGTGATTCACCGCCGTCTGTCAGCGTTATTGCCGCACCACCCACGTCAATTTTGGATTTGCACCTCCGCGTTCTACGTCGGACGTGGTGGCACTTGTTATCGACAAATTAATCGTGGATTGAATGAGTTTAGCATTGTGGAGTATGAGCGCCCTTGAGACGACGCCCCCACACGACACGCTCGTCGCCATCGCTCGCTCGTAGTCTCGATTCATTTTCCGACTGCGGTCGACACCACTGACCATGGGAATTTATTCCGCATGCTTGACAGACTTCCGTGCCTTGGCCCTCGAACCAAACGCTGGCTGCACAACTACCTGCGGGGCCGCTATGTTAGGGTATGCACTCGCGAACAGCACTCCCGGAAACAACTCGCCTCAGCTGGAGTACTGCAAGGCGGCGTCCCGGGACCCCAACTCTTCCTCCACTGTGTGGATGGTCTGCTGCGCCGCCTGGGCAGCATCTATTCTGCCTCCGCTTTCATGCACGCTGACGAACACACACTTGTTGCCTCAGGTGCGGACATCCATGCCTGTGCTGCGGCAATGCGACCGCTCTTGTCTCTTGTGGCCACATGGGCTGCCGAGCACAGCCTAAAAATCAACGTCGCTAAGAGCGAAGCTGCTCTATTCTACATCTCTTCACACACACACGGTCTGACGAGGACATGGTCG